AGTATATATATATATATATATATATATATATAATAAGGAGAATAATAATAATAATATTAATGGCATAGGGATTAAACCAGATAAAGCTACTATACAAGAAAGACCTTTCAGGCATATGTGCACCATTGTGTGTTTGGGTAAGACATAATAGTTGGACCCACTTTCTTCCTAGTGTTTGTCTCTCATTTCATCGTATCTTTTCTCTCTTTTTAATATTTAAATGTTTGAACAAACTTAAATAACCCAGAATTAGGCCAGGTCTTGCTACAGTATCGTCATATTTTTCGATTTGGGGTTTTCTGCTGCATGAACTTCGGATCGATTGTTGAACTAAAGAAGGAGTTGAAAGAATTGGAGGAATCTCTTCAACAAAGCGAGCTTCTCCTCCAACACAAACGTAGGGACATCTCCGCATTTAACAGTGATATTGCAGAAATAGAGAGGAGTATTGATGCTTTAGATGCTTCTAAACTGGCCTTACATGACAAGGCTCGGGATTCTAATCGACGAAAGCAAATATTTTTAAATGAACAGGCAACGTTTTATGCACAGTCCCCGCAGTTTTCCCGGGATGCGTATGTTTCGCAGTTGATGGATGGAGAAGCAAAATACGATGTTGTTTCATCCGAAGCCGAGCAATTGGCAGAGCGCATAAAGGAACTACAGGAGAAACCTGCCGAGGCTCAGAAGCGTCTGACTGTCGCCCGCTTGATGACCATGCTAGATGACTTGCAGGCTTCACTACTACAAAAGGTCAACGAAACCCCTGCTGGGGAAGAGACTCGTCCCCATGAGCTTCTTAAAGCTATTCAGGAGTTGTCTAGGGAGAGGGAGAGGGAGCTGTTCCTTTTGAGAAAAAGAGAGCATGAGATGAGGGAAAGTATTCATCTGAAAAAGAAACGCATCGTTGAGCTGCGCAGTGAGTCCGAGCGAAATATTGGAACGCTTCGTGAGTCATGTGAGTACGAACTAATGGGAATAACAGATCGAATACAAAAAGAGAGGAAAGATTTAATAAATGAAATCCAACGCTTAGAAGAAACGAATAATCATCTGACACACGTTATTCAGGATACACGGCTTTCAGCCGATGCATCCACTTCGGATCGTGCTGTTGTTCTTCCAGCAGACGTGGCCATGGGAGCTTCTCGAGACATAGGAGCTGAAAGCAAAGATCTACGCGAGCGAATCGCTGCTACTAATGGAGAGATGCATCGACTGATGCAGAAAACTAAAGAGCTTCAAGATAAAATGAATGAGGAAGCCGAAAAGTATAACCACAAAATGTCCCAAACGAAGAAGGAGATATTTTTATATCAGGATGAAATTATGCGGATGGAAGAGGAAAACAAGTCCCTAAAAGACCTGTGTGACTCGCTGGCGGCACAGTTACAAGATTAGTTATTGCATCCTTTTTCACCACGGAAGAGTGTATCATTCATTGAATCGGTTCTTTTTATGTTGTTTTTGAATTTCTTCAAATATCCATCTATCATATGATAACCAGCCTCGGTAAATTCGAATTAGTGTAGCTAATAAAAGCATGGTGTTATCATATCATTTTTCCTCTTTGTTGACAGTCATACACCGAAGAGTTTCATTTTAATCACTACTTTAAGACAACTATTACCAAGTTTCAACATCCAACATGAGGTCCGTGCTCCTTTTTTTTGCTGTACTGATTGCCCTTACAAGAGCGTCTGCTGATGTTGTGGAGCTTACCAGTAAAAACTTTGACGAAGTCATTGCGAAGGATGGGATAACGTTCATTAAGTTTTTTACCACTTGGTGTGGCTACTGCAAGAAGGCTGCCCCAGAGTTCGCAAATGCATCAGATATACTCAAAGACGTGGCCACCCTTGCTGAGGTTGATTGTGATAAGGAAAGAAACATCTGCAAACGTTTCGAAGTTAATGGCTACCCAAAGTTCCTTCTCTTTCGGAAGGGTGTTAACATCTCCACTTTTTCTGGTCAGCGCGTTGCATCAGAGATGGTCGATTATGTAAAGGTTCAGATGGCATCTGATACCAATTCAGTATCTTCTGAAGAGGAATTTGAGAAGGTTAAAAGTGAAAATCCTAGAGTATGCTTAATTAAAACCAAGTCGGACGAAACTGAACTAGCAAAGTTGGTCAATAAGCTTATTCCCAAATACAAAGCCACCTATCGTTTTGTGGTTATCAATGACGAGAAAGTTTCTCCGGATGATTCCATGGAATCGATCACTGTGTATCGCAAGGGTGATGATAAAGAAGTATTCGATGGGAACCTCAGTTCTGAGGCACTTTCTACTTTCCTCGACAAGGCTCCTGTAATGTTTATAGGTACCTTATCACCTGAATCGATTCCTTTCTATTCCAAATTATCTCATGAAAAAATCGGAATCCTTTTAATGGGCTCGGAAACTACTGATGAACGCATCGCTGATCTCCGATTGGTTGCCAAGAAGTATCGCAATAAGATAACAGTTATCAGTTTTGAGGGTGAATCTAATGAAGTTTCGAAAAATATTGGTCTTCCCGAAGACACTAAATACCCCGCATTTGTTCTCACTCATGATAACACCGCTTATCCCCACCCCACGGACATACAAGCGAACTCCTCGACAATTGACGCCTTCATGCAAAAGTATTTGAATGGAGAAGTTAAACCTATTCAAAAATCGCAGCCGATTCCTGAGGAACCCACCAAAGATGGTCTTACGATTCTTGTGGGAAAAACTATCGATTCTTATATTAAAAAAGGAAAGAACCTGATGATTTTCTTTAATGCCCCTTGGTGTGGGCACTGCAACAAGCTCCACCCGATTTACGACGAATTTGCCAAATCCCACGGTTCTGATAATTTGATTATCAGTAAGATTGATGGTACTGCTAATGACTTTAATCGAACCATGTTTAATGTGAACGGATTTCCTACTATTTATTTTATTCCGGCTGGAAGTCAAGAAGCTATGTTCTACAATGGCAAACGCACCGTGGAAGACTTAGCAGCCTTCGTAAAGAAGCACATGAAGGAACCCGTTGAGCCGAAGCAAGAGGACTTGGAAGGCGGTGATCTGTAGGCGACTTACCTCAAAATGATGTTGAAGTTACACGTCGTTAATGTCAGGCCCAACTGTAAGCATACAGATGTTGTGAAACCGAAAAATATACCCTCTTTTTGCTTAATTTATATTTCAAAATGTCTGTGTACGCATATAATACAGTGCAGAAAGTGTGAATGAAAATTGAGGGAAGATTTTTTTGCGCGAATTTTAAACAGTATCTGTGGACACAATTTGAAATGGTAATATCGTAGAAAACTTAGGGTAGTTTCTTTTGGGTATCGTTTTGCTTTTATAAATTTTGAAAATATCTAAATGAATAAATATATATGCAGATATATATATTTATTTATTTTAAAGTACATTTTTAACTGGGCTATTTAACATTAAAATTTAACTGTATCGGAAAAGAGATGAAAAGGCTGATAAGATGACAAATATCGTGTTCGATCATAAATACAGTGGAATGATCTCATGCAAAATCACAAAATATTCTCTCTCTTTTCCTTTTTTTTGTCGACCGCTTCATCTTTTTGCCACATTTGTTTACCCTAGGTAACAGAAGCCTAACGGAAAAAAAGACATATAGTGTGATTAGCGAGGGGACCCATTATTATTTAGAATGTTTCGATCAAGACAGCTCCTAACATCACAGCTATCTATTCACATGTGCGTAGGGGTTGTTGCGGCCCCATCGAGGGGTTTTATTCAAGGAATGGCTGTTTGGTCCTGTCGTTTGCTGCTGTCTCAGGCAGGATATTCTGCGCTGGCTTCTCAAACAGGGAAAACTATTTGCCAAGAATCATACAATTTGTCGTGCCAAGGAGCTATTGTCGCCAACTACTGCTGTAGCAACTTGCATGAGGGTTGTATTGTGCATGTTGTATCAAAGCTTATAAACTCTCCTATTTATGTATCCGTTCACGGGACATACTTCGAAAAGACGGAACTCTTAGTGACAGACAGCTTTGGTTTCATTACAAAGCTCAAGTCTTTGTAATGCTTTACATAGCAAGTATCATATAATCTTATCCCTGATTTGCCTCCAATGGTATCATTCCATACTTTATTTCAACTTCGCTTTGACCAAACATCCATCGATTTTACTTTACTCTTCCTTATCTTTGGTCACTCTTTTCTTCTCTGAGGCAAGCTATCCATTTTTAAGCATAATTTTTAGCCATGCGCAGTAGATTTTATCGAATTAGCGCCTGCAGGGTGCTACAGCCATATATTTCTCGGGGAATAGAAATGAAGGGTGCTATAGCACCCGCATTAGTTCCTTTTAGAGGTGTAGTAAGTGGTTTTGGCTGTTATTGGGCAGGGTTTCTTCAGATGCGCTACCAAAGCACGTCTTCTGAAAGGCGTTTTCACTGCAGCGTTTGTAAGAAATCGTTTAGGCTTGAAAAGGCAGCCCAATTGCATTTACAGCAGGCTCATAACAGTGATGGGAGTATAGAAATTGGCGCAGGTCCAGGCTGTGAATCGAATGCGGCACCGAGTCGCCCGAATTCTCTTCCTCGTGGCCCTACCGTGATTTCACAACCTCCTGAATCATCCACTCAAAGCGAACGTTCTCGCCCTCGGCGAAGTCGCCCCATTCCAAAGCCTCTAAATACACCGGAGAAGGAGGTTCCGCCGGAGGTGATCCAGGAAATCCTAGATGTGTGGGACAAAGTTGGCGTGCAGCGTTTGGCTGGTAAATTTATTCATAGTTCCATGATTATGAAAGTATCCGCAACAAGAACAGAAGAAAAATCCGTGCCTCTTTATGATTTTACGAAATCAAAAGCGGATACTTCGCCTTCTCAGACAAATTTTGAAACACATCAGATTGTGAGCGATTCTTTGTATCAGGTTGACTTTGATGATGCATATGCAATGGCTCCTTCTGAGTCCCTTAGTCCTTTTAACGCTGCCTCATGCGACAACCCACTCAATGAATCTAGCTCTGGATTCCATGAAACCTTTAGGACGACATCCAAGTTAGTCGACCCTATCTTAGCGGCGCCTGCAGCGCCGCCGGTCACTACGTTTGGGCAGCTGCCAATGTTTGGACAACATCAGCAACCGAGTATACCGAGTAACGCTTTGAACGGGGGTCAGCAGTCCGCTTCATCTCTATTTGTGGCTTCACCGTTTGCGAATGCTGCAGCAACTGAGTCCCCCTTTTCTGGAAGAGTAGTTTCCTCAACTATGACGCCGGTGGCCTCACCTAGTGCATCGCAGATGTTATCAAGTCCTTTCGTATCTGTGTCCCCTTTCGCAGACGGACAAACAGAAGCACCGCCAGCTACGTCTTCTGCTACAGCAGTTAATACGGGAAGTGCCGTGGCTGCAGCAGCTGCTAGTCCGTTCGCGACTGGTTCGTCGGTTGAATCCGTTGGGTCTCCCTTTGTCTCGAATGGAGTACTGAATTTTGCATCAATGGCGCCGCCACCAAACTTTCTTGGTGCTGACTTTGCCGCGATGAGCACAGAAGCAGCATCTCCAGTGCACCAATGTGATTCATGTGGTCGAAATTTTTCAACACATGAAGGCCTGCGCATGCATGCCCAAGCGAAGCATGGTGTGAAGCTTCCACGAGCAGAAACGAACGAGAGCAGAAAGAAAAAATCGGTTGCTGAATTATCAGCCTACATTCCGAGTCCTGTGGATCTTTCCATGACAAGCCCATTTGGTGTTCAGGATGAGCCCGAGTTCAATTGGATTGAAACTGAAATTATACCACACGCCGTGGCGGTTTCCAATATCACAGTCACTGGCAAAGTACTCGAGGTGAAGGAGATTGATGGTAAGAGGTTGCAAATAACGGTTTTCGTTTCAGCTGAGACATCTGATGAAGGTGATAAAATGACCATTATCTGTTCGGACGAGCTTTCGAAAATATATGCTGACAACATCCACCCTGACGATTATTTGTTCGTGTGCGGGGTATTGCGCCTAACTTCAGTGCATGAAGATCTCAACGATAAGTATTACTCCACGCCAGTTATCCATGTTGCATCACCTGCAGGGCTAATAGGCAAGATATGATGAATCCATCTTCGTATTACTAAAAAAGCATCATCGACGAGTGATTTTAAAAAGCCAATTCTTTCCACTTGAGTGCATTTATTTTTCATAATCTGTATTTTCGGATGATTTATGTTTTTGTTTTGGTATCTTTTTTTTTCTGCCCATCTACTTGTTTTGGTTGTTCCTATTTTCTCTTTTAGTGTACATCATTTTCTTACACAAACAGTTGTTGCCAGCTCCACAAACACAAAGAAAAAAAGATAATCAGGGATGGATTCTCTCATAAATTTACATGAGGTAGTCGAGAAGTTGTGTGCATTTTTACGGTCTAGTGTCCAATCCGACTCTGGGTTGGACACTGCACAAGATCTTTTCGCTCCTCGAAAGGAGGCGAAACATCTCAGTGTGGAAGTTGAAGTGGCGTTCTTGTCTTCTCCGCCGCCACATCGTGTGCCTCTTTATATCTTATTACCCCATAAGGTAATGCATGGCACAATTTGCCTCATCACGCCGTCGCCTCAGAATAAATTTAAAGATAAGATACTTTCTCTGAGCGAAGATGGTCATGAGGTTGCGCAAAATGTAAAGCGAGTCATTGACGCAGAAAAGCTTCGGACCAAAATTGTAGACCCTGTGTCTGTGCGTGCTTTCGCGAAAGGCTACGATAACTTCGTCGTATACGCAGTGAAGAAGTATCCACCTCAGCTTACTGGAGAATTTTTAGGTCACCAGCGGCTCCCAGTGTGGGTGAGCAAGAAGGGGCCTCTGGCGACCTCACTTGCCAATTCGACGAGAACTGCGGTTGTGTCGCGTCGTGGAAACAATGCTGTGACATGTTGTATCGGACACACTGATCTATCCGTTCAGCAGATTGAGGAAAACGTGAAGACGTTTGTGGAAAAACTCACCAAGCATCCTCAGGGTGCGGCGCTGAAGAACATTCTGCATATTCGTGTGGCTGGAACAAACACTGAGGGTGTTCGCGTAGGCTTTCCCATCTTTGGTCAAACTTTTGCATTCACATCTGTTAGGACGGCAAAAGGTAAAAGACCTCGCGAGGAGACATCAGCCGATCTAAATGCAACGCAATCCTCATCTTAAGTATCTTTGAGCATACCTTTAAGGAACTGATTACGCCTTTTATTTTTACCACTGTCGATTAAAGTATTAACAATGACGAAATAATCGCACCCTTTCATAATTTATCTTTACTGTTACCTTGGTCACTGGGTGTTTTAGTCTTTTTCTTTTACATGAGGAAATCTCTCCTGGTCTTAGCATTGTTATATTACTATTTGACTTTATGACATATTCTTTTTTTAGTTTCTCTTTCTTTCCCTGTCTTTTTTTCTTTGGTGGCGGTAAATCAAGTTGCTAATATATCTAAGTAGCTTTTCAAAAAAACTTATTCTGTTGTGGCTTTGAACTATCTTACCCTCTATCAAGATGTCGTTTATGAAGGTAGGCCCGCAGTCCATGCTCAAGGAAGGATCTGCAATGGTTGATGAGCCTGTCCTAAAAAATATTCAGGCTTGTCGAGAGCTGTCAAAGATCACCCAAAGCTCTTTGGGTCCGTACGGGCTTTGCAAAATGGTAATCAACAATCTTAACAAGCTGTTTGTTACACACGATGCGGCAACCATCCTTCGCGAGGTGGAGGTTGAGCACCCTGCTGCTAAGCTTCTGGTGCAGGTATCTAACGCGATGCAGGAAGAGGTTGGTGATGGCACCAATTTTGTGGTGACCCTCACTGGTGAACTTCTTTCACAGGCAGAATCGCTTCTGCGTATGGGTCTTCACCCCAGTGAAATCATCGAGGGCTATAAAAAGGCGGGCACCAAGTGCTTGGAGCTGCTCGAAACCATGACAGCACGCACGGTAAATGACTGCCTTCTTAAGGAAAACATCATCGATGCCGTCCGTACTGCTATAGCTTCTAAGCAGTATGGCTATGAGTCTTTTCTAGCGGATCTCGTCGTCGAAGCTTGTATTAACGCGTGCCCGTCTAATGTGCGAGCCTTCAATACCGACTTTGTTCGTGTTGTAAAGCTGGATGGCGAATCTGTGTTATCCTCGAACTTTGTGCGTGGATATGTGATTGGGCGTGACTCCGAAAGCACTCTAAAACACATTACCAATGGAAAGATTGCCGTGTACAGCTGTGCTGTGGACGTTCCATCTTTGGAAACTAAGGGTACCGCTCTCATGGAAAATGCTGAGGACCTTCTTCAGTATTCCCGCAAGGAGGAGGATGTTATGGAGGAAATCATAATGAATGTTCACAGATCCGGTGCTAATGTGATTGTATCCAATTCTACATTTGGTGACCTAGCCCTTCATTTTATTAACCGACTGGGCATGATGGCTGTGCGCGTGCCCTCGAAGTATGAGATCCGCCGACTGTGTGCCGCAGTTGGAGCACATATCATGAATCGCCTGGATGCGCCGACGCAGGAGGATTTGGGTTCATGCGATCATATTGACGTAACAAACATGGGTGGGAAAAATATTACTACCTTTTCTCAAGATCGTGATGATTCGAAGCTGTCCACAATTGTCGTGCGAGGTGCTACACAGAATGCCCTTGACGACGTGGAACGTGCCATTGATGATGGTGTTAATGTTTTTAAGGCACTAACAAAGGATAACCGCCTGGTCGCAGGTGCGGGCGCACTAGAAATGGAGCTGCAGAAGGAACTGACTAAATTTGCTGAAGCAAATCCGGGGTTGGATCAGTATGCTATACGAAAGTACGCTGCAAGCTTTGAAGTGGTAGCTCGCACTCTGGCTGAGGTTAGTGGTTATAATGGAACAAATATGGTGACTCAGTTGGAGGCTGAGCACAATGCAGGGAAAAAGTATCAGGGTGTGAACGTTGAAGATGGATCGACACTTGACGCTTTAGAGGCTGGTATTGTGGAGCCGCATTTGACAAAGTCCTGGGCTATTAGGCTTGCTACAGATACAGCGGTGACAGTGCTGTCGGTAAACCAAATTATTGTTGCCAGGCAAGCGGGGGGGCCCAAGAATCGCCCAGACCAGGCTCGCGATGAGGATTAGCTGTCGGTGAAAAAGATGAAGAAATAAGAAAAATAATAGAAAAATTATCGCGTTTGGGTGAGAACAACCGAAATTTCTAATCTGTCACATTATGGAAGGATACAAATATATTTAAGCGCGTATATATCATATTTTTATACTAATAATATCTGAAAAGCTTAATTGACAGAATCTAACCATAAGAATTGTTCTGTATCTAACGATATTAAGGGAAACAATGCATGGTTTCTCTCCTTTTGAGGGTTTTCTTACTCCCTTCGATGAATTGAGATAATTTTTTCCCGTCTTTTTTCTTCCTTCAATAGTGTTAAATTTGTGTTACTCTTTAAAGGACGCTGTGTCTTCTCTATCATTTGTGATTCACGTTTTCTTTTCTTTAGCACGAGAAAAAGAAAAATGTCCCACTGAATACACACTCATGAATTGATTGCCTCTAGCTTAGACTATAATCGATATAATTCACTCGATTATTTCGAAATGCACTGTTGTTTGTGCACGATTGAGGCTATAAGGGGACGTTATCAAGAGCTTTGGAGGGTATAAATGAAGCAATAAAATACCATTGAGTTCTGGCGTTGAAATTATAAGGGAATTGATAGCTCAGCAATCACTCTATCCTCTGATGATCCTACTGTTAGGGTGATTGTAGGTTTTACATGTTGACTACATAAACAGCGTGCCCGAGGAACTAGCGTTTGTTGGATTGGCTCCGAAACTATCGTCTGTGTGTGAACTATTTAAACGCGAAAATGTTCCATAAGACGCATTTCTCCTCCTTGGCTGACTTGCTGCCACAACTAAGAAAATACGCACTCTTGAAAATTCCATGTATCGCTTCGTGTTGAGGTGCATTGACAAGGACTTTCGGTTTGCTTGTAGAGTCTTTGACTTAGAACTAGCTAAACTCACACAGATTTACCGCTTTTTTTCGAGAATTTATATATCTTATCCTTGTATTATTAACATTTTTTATATGTATGCTGGTGGACTTTAGCAGACTAGATGGAATTTCCCGTTAGGTTTCCTCTTCTTGTTGTTGTTTTCTCTGTTCTCAACTCTGAGCACGCAGCTGTGGCTAACATCGTGCATAATTTATTGTACCTTAGATCCTTTATTCATCCTTTCATTCTCTGTAGATACCTTAAGCATATTTTTTCCTTTAAAGCATACATATAAAAGACCCTTTAAAAAATCATTAAACTTAATATTTGGGGATTGGGGAAGTAAGGTACATACTATTTCGAGGATTTCTGGAAATGAACGATACACTCCAGAGTTCGCGTGATGTGCGTGTGATCATAGAGAATTCTATCGTTGCCGAAATCGGTGCGTGCACCGTTGGACGTTGCCCAAATCCCAGTACCTCTGGGTATGTCCATTCTCATCTTTCAGCGTTAATGACACGCGATAGTACATGGTGCATACCGGATGTTATCCCAGTGGGTGATCTGGTATGGCCAGCGCCCTTAGTTTCAGCGTGGAAAAAGATGAATTACAGCTCCTTTACCGGCATATTTCCTTCCATCTCCCGTGTATGGCTAGTTGTAGATAACCGGCTTATTCTTTGTAATTATCGCAGCGAAAGGGAGCTTTGTCAATATGATGAGATTCCAGAGCTCATCGTTACGGTGGGAAATCCTGTGCGTCCACAAAAGGGCATTTTTCAACCCCATGTTTCTTTTGTGCTCCCTGTGGCTACTTCTGAAGTGGTTTATTTACTTGGTGTCTGTATAGGGAATGAGGAAGAATTGTCTGAAGTAAGGCTGCTGAATTTGGGATACAGTGTAATGGCACCTTCTCTTTTTACAAAGATTATTGGAATAGAAGAGGCTGGAAGAATTTTTTGTGCCGGGGCAGATGGCAACTTATACGAACTGCGATACGTTCGTGAAAGCACTCCGTTCATTCCAAGAATACGATTGGTATGTTATTCTTTTTTCCTCTCGAAGTGGCCCGTACTAGGGCAGATTACATCACTGATCGGCACAGTGAAGCAAACGTGGACCGGGCCCAAGGCTGGGTTGTGCGACATTATTGTCGACAGGCGCCATGACTTACTGTTTAGTTTAGACGAACAAAGCGTTATTAGTATCTGGCGCATCTTACCAAATGATCTCAAATTTATAAAAGCACTTGCTCATCAACCAAGCAATTATCTTCCATCTAATACTTTTCATGCTCAATTGCTCTCTCCGCTATGTAAATTGTTCGTAATCGATCCTGATCACGATGGTTGCACGCTTACTGCTATTACTGTTTCCGGGGAGCAGTTCCGTTATCGCTATACCGACCATTTTACAGGAAATCAAAGCGTGGAGTTTATCTTGCGGGGATACGTCCCTTCGCACTGCAAAGCTTCCCGCGAAGTAGGGGTCTGTTACGGCAGCGGCTCCGTGGTTATCCTATCAAACGCATCAGAGAACTCGGCGGATGAGCTTGTCATAATTTCGTCCCCAAATGCCATCATGGAGCCACACAGTAAATCTCGAAATATTGTAACAACCTTTGACTCGTCTGAGTCTCGGATCGTACGCGTAGATGCCATTGAAATGATCTCCCCGGTTAGGCCCTACATGAGTCCTAATGATCTCTGTGCCCAGGTAAATCATCCCCCTTCAATGTTTGCGGTTGTGCATCGGCACGGGATCTCCTTCTTTCTACAAATGCGCCCAGTTGATTTACTTTACACGATCATGAGCATGTCTGACATGAAAAATCGTGATGGACTTTTGCAACGTTTTGCCTCGATTTACAGTGAAGTGGACTACACAGCGATGCTGCTTCAAATAGCGACTAATGCAGTTAACATTAGCCACTTTATTTGCGGCCCTCTCATTGCGGACAATTTAAACAAACCGCCAGCGGGCACCATTAGCACATCAGCCCAAGCTAGCGGACTTACATTTGCCCATATAGGTGCAACCCTACTGAACTGCAGCTCCCCTGCGCCTAAGCGTATTGCGCGGGAGCTGTTGCGCAGCGCAGCCCTTACGACAACACAAAGCAATCCACCTGATGCTTCAGGCATGAGACAGGTGACTATTCTCCTTTCAACCTACTCAAGTACTGTGGTGGTCTATATGGCACGTGCACTCTACGACGTCTGGGACGTCCCTCTTCATAAATTGCTGCAAGAAAATCTCAAAACAATAGAAATAGTCTTTTCACTTTTAGTTCGCTTTCTTGAAAGCACCGAGTTGGCGACTTGCAGTGAAGAAGGTCTTCGAATAGATATCCCTTATCGGTGGGAGATCAACAAGGTGGTTGTGTCCCTACCAGCTGGCACTACACTATCTTTATATGATGTTAATAAGTTTCAAATGGTTATGCTGTTTCAGGCCTACCAGCTCGCCCGAAAAGCCCTTCAAACTGCACTTCTTTTGCACCAATCCCTCTTCCTTCCGCTTCGCTCCGAGGACCATCTCTTAACCTTTGGTCAAATTGTTCGTGACGAAATGGTAGCCAGGCGAATGGGCCAATACTACAGCCAACTGATTTTGTCCTCACCTCAGGGGGTTGGATCTGCTGCAAGCAAGCAGGTTCGCTCGTTTGGCGAGCTTCAAAAACGCTGCCCCTATTTCTTCGCTAGCATTGACACGCAGGAGTTGAAGGCGCAATCGGAGATAGCGGAGCTTACTCGCGGTGGTGGTCTTGACTCACTGACGGTCTCTCAGCTGGATCAATGGATGGCCTCAGTTGGACCGCATGCGGGCTCTTACTGGTTATCTGGCGCACTCCAGACAATTTGTCAACAGCTCAAGGACCTAAAACGGGAAGACCTTGCAATACACCTTTTGCTTCATGCGGCGAGACAGTTGGACCCAAGCAATGCCTCATTACCACTTTACCTTGCCGAGCAAAGCGGACGTTTAGTACAGGAAAATGTTAGTACCGCGCTTTACACCCTTTACCAAACCAAGTGTCGTGCGCTGCAACTAGTGGTTTCCATTTTAGAGTCAGCTTGGTTAAGTCATCGTAGTGTCATTGATATTCTCCTTGGTAGCCCACATAAGTCTGGGGCAATATGGGAGCTTGAACCTAATGATGAGTTCGCGCACTACTATTTGCTCGATTGGATGCGTGCCCCACGTGAGGATTCGAATATCACGCAAGCTCTTCGAGACACCCTCGTAGCGGCGCGCTCCCCGTTCCTCGAGAAATATCTGACCCAGAACTCAGCTCTTCTGGGTGAGGAGTACGCACACTATCTGCATCGCACGAAACATGACTATAAGGCTGCTATTGAGCACAGTGTGCTGCTTGCGCAGTCCCCACTTCTTCAGATCCCTCGTGCGGATCGTCTATCTTACCGAATACGTTGCCTAAATGAGGCACGGGAATGCGCTTGTGAGTGTGGCTCGGGACAAATTCAGCAGATTGAGCAACTCCTTTCTCTATTGGACGCTCAGAAGCGACTTCTCAAAATAGTCACCGACTACGTTGGCTCGGGGCAGTCACAGCTGGACAAAACTTGGCACGTGGGTGGCCGCATGGTGACGGAACGGGAGCTGGCTTTGACCCATGTGGAGCAGCTCTCCGAGAGTGTCTGCTCCGTGAGTGAGATTCTTCAAATAGGCGGGATGTACGCGGCTTACGGTGGCGCGGAGGTGCAGCTCGATGTACTCGTGAGCTCCAATGTAAGTGACTCATGTGTATTTGCAATGTGTATTCTGCGGGCCTATCAACTTCGCGATGATAGTATCGAGGACCTCACACGTCGCCTTATTGAACGCTATTACAAGAGGAGCGTTTTGTTTCCCGTACCGACCGTGATTCAAGTGTTAGAGGCATATTATTATGTTAAGTTTCCACAAGGTTGTCTTTCGGCAGCCAAACTGCTGTTAGAGTTTGGTGTCGATGTCAAGGTTCTTTTTTACTCATACCAAGATTTGATTGAAGAGCGATATCAAGACGCGGCCATGTGTGAGGCATTCACTCAGGCAGGTGTTACAACCGCATACCTCGTCCACTCGTTAGCCTTTGTTCTTTATGAAATGGCTAAAGCGGTGCAACGAGGAACCCTTCGATTTACAGTAGTAGCTCAGGCGATGCGAGTGGTGCAGGATTATATAAGCTTATGCGTTAGTAGTCAAACAATTGGGAGCACTGAGCGTCATGCTTTAAGCGAAGCCGAGAATCATCTTCGTCTCTCAGATAACATGATTAATGCTGGCTAAAATCAAGGGTAATTGTTCGCTAGTATTTTAGGCTTGCTCTAAAGGGTCAGACTCCTCTTCAAGGACCTCATTGGCTACAGTGAATATAATATAATCTCCTGCAAAAAAAAAATGATACGCCGAGATAGATTTTTTTACAATGTATTTGAGTAAGAAAGGTTGACTTAAATCTGTGTACATTGCTTTCTTACTTTAGAAGTATCGTACCAAGTAACTAACAAACGGGAGTTCGTTCTATTGTTGTATCAGCTGGAGCATTAGATCCTTTTCCTTGGCTTGCCTGACTCGGCGGCCTTTTAACTTCCATGTTCAACGTGTAGCATATCACATTGGAGGGTAGCATGGTTTATTACGATACCTTAATATTAGTATTTGTTATTGCCATGCCTGAATTCGTCAACCCTTTTTTCTTGGATTCTCAGGAACTCGTATAAGGTCATTAAAATATCTTATATAAAGAGAGATACATTTGTATAATGAGCACGCTTTAAAGTGAAACTATGAAACGAGTTGAAAATAGTGAAAGATTAAATGCTAATAAAGGAGCATTCTGGAGACAGTTGATCTGGCGGTGTTTTAGGGCATTATTCCCAGCAGATGATGTCAGTACAGCTTGCCAACGTAAGGTAAACGGAGATATTAGCTATGCCCCCTTCTACCTCTATCCAAACCAGTGGCCGCAAGGCAGTGGGGATGCCATTTCACTTTCTGAAAATATTTTTCAGGATCTTTTGAAAATACGTCTTCAGTGGGTTGCTTCGAAACTTGTGCAAATTATCTTTATTCTCTTTATAATTGCATTTCTTTTGGTAACGGTTCCCACTTTGTATTGACGATAAATCAGATCTATGGATAGTATGAAATCGAGTAAACAGTAAAAAGAAAACATTTCTGTGTACCCGATAGTTACAGATTTATTTGTTTCTTTCCACCTAATGTGTGTCCCTTTTTTCTCATCTTCTATGCTATCACAGTCGATAAAAAATAACTATTCACCCTGAATCCCACAAGACTTTCATTTGTTTATAGTAAGAGAAATTTAGATATTGGGTCTGTGAAGTCACACTGACAATGAAATGAAGGATAAAAGGGATGTTGTGAGTCAACTACACGCACGAATAAAAAGAAAACGATCCGAGGTTCACGAGTATCTTAACTCTCAATTTTACGACCGATGCCGCAATATATTACTGCTTGTTGAAAAAATAGACGCAGACGAGTACTTTAAGAAGAATCCGTCATCCCTACCGGAATACTCTCTTTATGTCCAACGCCCCATGTACTGGGATTGCATCCGAAAGAAGCTTAGCAGTTATAATTACAAATCGTTTTCTGAATTCATAGAAGATATGCGCCTGGTGATCAACAACGGTTATGCTTACAATGGTTTCACATCAGCTGTTTCTCCCATTTGCAGGGATATGGAGCTGGCTATGGAAGATTTATTCATCAAAGAGTTAAACGCGGCACCACCAAATATTAGTGAGCTTAGAAGAATGGGCACTAAGCTGAATCCTGATATTTCAAAGGAAATATGGAGAACAATTTGCTTTTATGAGAGAAGGGACGAAAAGGCAGCAGGAACTAAGGCTTCAATTTCCTTGGCGAAGTGTCGAACTGCCACCCTGTGGAGAATACGAGAAATCATGGAGTGTGTAGGCAAACAGAAAAAAGCAAAGCAGCCGGTACGAGAAAATGGGACTAAGAGACTGCCTTCCGCAACTACTAAAGAGCCGGTGCAGTTTCAGCGACCGACTTTGAACGAGGCTACTACTATCTCACAGGTGTATGAAAAAGAAAAAACTATTAAAGAAGATAGTCCAACCCCAACGCTGGAGCGAGTTCCACAAAATGCTCGATCCGGCAACTTCACTGTCCGCGAAATTAGTCCGATACGTATGGAGGATGAAGGCATATCTAGCGATGAGTATAATGCAAAAGACTCACCTACCTTTGAGCCAGAATAAAGAAGTTTAACGAAATATCGCATACTGAGGTCAATATTACATATATATATATTTATCTAATGTATATATAGATAAATAGATGGATAGATAGGTAGATATGTATATATATATATATATATATATATGCATATATATTGTTACAGAGTGATCTGTATCGTTACTTGGGGTATGAAGCAAGACACAAATTTCCCTACGCCGTTAAGGGGAGACTCCGTTGGCATGCATCCAATCTTCACCTTTTCACTTTTCCTACAATGTTTCTTTCGTTGGCATCAGATCATGACATGAAATGCTAGGAGCATATGAATCTGTGTACGCAATACTTAGGAAGCTATTCCTGCGTTTTAACTAAACCATTGGAAGCCAACGGGCTCATGGGTGATTACCTAAAAGGGCTTCCAACCTGGTGGTGTAATGCATTTCTCCTTACGTCTAGCTTACCACATTCTTATGATTTGGTAATAAGCAATACTCGCTCGCGCTTTTATTGTTGTTCTTGGAGTGCATTTTGATGATATGCTTCCTTTGGCTTTTTCCTCTGCACTATCACTATTTGCATCCTTGTTCTTCATAATATTTATCATCAAACAGATTGAATTGAAGACATACCGTGAAAATTTTAGAGATTATGTTTTCTATCCCAAAGTCAATTCCCGTTTTCCGGCCCCAGTCGCCGATACCGTCATCTTCAGAAACATTAGATCGACCGATACCCATCCCCTTCATCGCGTTATCCCCGCCACAACTGACGCAACTCCCGGTACCAAAAGTCGAAGCGCCCATTCCATCCGCTCCTGTCGCCATACCGGTGCCCGTTATGACGGTTGCCGCACCAGCTACAATTCCAATTCCGCATCTAACCACTTCGCCCCGCAAAAATATTCCGCTATCGTCTACTACGGATCTTAGCTCCGTATCGGAGCCAAAGTCAACTGCAACAGCTGTACTAGATCCAGTTCACAATGCCGTGCCTCCTGCATTTTCGACGAACTTACCTACGGTAACTCATCTTCCGCAGTTGAGAGTGGTGCCACTTGAGGTTCCGTCTTCCCTGGCAGTAGATGTGCATGCGCATGAACGGGCTGGAGCCGTCGCGGCGGATACAGATGCAGTCGGGAAGGACGTACCACTGGAGGCTGAAACCAAGGGAATCTCTTCCGTCGCGGAGCGCAGCGAAGCTGATTACAGCAAGTGGGTGTACCCTGCTCCACGACTTCCGCGACCGCTCAGCGTGGATGCCGGTTACCTTGGAGTTTTGGCGGCCCCGCAAGCGTGGGCGGCGCCTCGCTTCGAGGAGCTTGATCCGGCAGCAGTGGACGTCGTGCCGGCCCCGATGTGCCCTGACTACGTTATGTTTGGCGGCGCCCAGTATCACAGCTTCTTCCCATTCTCTATGCGTAGTCGTAGCGGAAAGGACCAATCGAATCTAAAGTTGGAATCCAGCCCCGAGAATCTCAGCTCCCTTGTGGAGTTGAAACGTATTCAGTTCATGCTAGACCAGTTGAAGGTGGCGCAGCGCTACTTACAGTTAAGGAGAGCCGAAGCTGAGGCACTTATAGGGTATGAACAAGCCCCTGTTTCAGCCCCGCAAGGAGATGATCAAGATGGTTTACCTCGAGAACGAGAGGTCGATTTGGCTCCCACAGATGTTGAGAAGGGGACGCTTTGGACGCTGGCTTGGGCTGGTACCGCCGCACAGCTCCAGGGCGCACTCGGGAAGCTGTGCTGCGGGAGCAACGCCCTTGACGCCCTTGGCTACGTGACTCTTGGCCGACATCAATGGGGGCTGAAACGAATCAAGGGTGAGTATGTCTTGGGTTTGGGAATGAAAGCGACGGCCCTGCAGTTTGCAGCCGTTTCCGGGAGACTAGATAACGTCATCGTGCTTATCTCTAATGGTGCAGCTGATCGCTTCTCCCCGCGATTATGCGATATTCTACCTAAACCAGTTTACAAACTACTCAAAAGTGCATTAAAAAAGTCCTCTGTAAGGAAAAAACCTGTCATTCCGCTTCAGGCCTCTAGCGTTCCCTTGGAGGGCAATCCTTCAAATTTTCCCAAGCCTGTTTGTTTTTCTATTACTGCAGGATGAGCTGACTCGTTATGGGGCAGTACATTTCCTTAAGCCCTGAATTCCCTTGAGGCCAGGAATCTGAGCTGCCTCAAAAAAAAAAAGAAGACCAATATTTTTGTCTTCTTCTTTACCCCTTAGAATGTCAACATATTGAACTAGAGGTTAATTAGAGACAAAAAATGTAATGACAGGTAAATCTATAGTTTCTCTTTTTACTCCTTGATGCGTGAAGCCACCACACATGTTATCTACTTTACATTCAACTTCTCTTTCTGTTAAAGCATAAAATAGTTTAATCTTCAAGTTGAAGGGTTACAAGCGCACGTGCTAACATGGAATTAATCCGTAAATCGATGACTGTAGAAAACGGCGAGGTGAGCGCCGAAATATTGGGTAAAGGTACTCGCAAGCTCGTGTCTATCAACGCCATCAGCATACCACGCATTTTAGGCCTTTCAAAGGAGCTATTTCCCGATAGTTGGAGATCTTCGTTGGGTTCTCTTCTTCCTGATGTCATGGCAATGACTGAGGCCCCATTAACTGATTGTGCAGATATCGATTACAAAAGCGAAGACGGCACACAAAAGACGATACGGTTGTCTGAACAAGAAGCAGGTATCCATAAGGAGGCTTTGTATGCTTTGAAAAAGAATTTTGAAGGCATTATTACGCTTGGTAAGGTTGCAGGTCTCACAGAAAAGGAAATAAGTGCTCTGTTTACGATGGTTTTGCTGGATCACGAGGAGCATGCGCATTCAAATGGAGTGGAAATTCACGAATCTATGGACGAGATGCTGCACGATGCAAACATGCACGATCCAGAGAATTGGAATAAATGTCAATCTCAATAGAAAAAGGTGAATTTGTTTTCTTTAATGAGGGGTGATTCTCTTTGGAGTAACTTGATTTAATAATGATTGACTGTTGTTTCTTTTTACTCGGGCTAGTAAACACAAGACTACGCGAAGGCACGCCTAGTGATGCAATTTTCCATGTGAGGTGCAATGCAAACCTTAATCTCTTTCTTATAACCCAACCACAATAAAATAAAAGAGTATCTTTAGTGAAAATTTCATAGATCAATTTCTATGTGATTGTTATTGTTATTTATGCTTTTACTGGTATTCAATTCTTCTTATTGGTTGATTATTTTGTTCTAGGAAATAGTCACGTGATGCATAGACTGCTTGATCAATGTCTGTACCATAAAGAACATGTGGCTTCATCTCCCATAAACGCTAACACGGTTTCTCTGTCGAATCATCTCAACTTGGAAGCGTTGCGGGCCTACGTTGACCGAGGTCGCGCCAGACTCATTGAGACGGGTGGGCTCACATCTGTGTCCGTCAAAGAAGGTAGCCAAGGTGATGTCCAAGGACTCCCATGCGGGGCTCGTACCTTGCTGATCAAAAAGGATTCAGCAGAAATTGTAGCCAGAGGAGTCAACAAATTTTTTGACATGGAAGATGTAGGAGACGAGTGGGTGGTAGACGGGATGCTATGGAGCGAATGCGTGGTGTGGGTGCAGCGCAAGCTCGCTGGGTTTGTCGTGACCTTGTTTTCGCTAGACGGGGTGATGCTTATATGCGCGTCGAAGCATGTTGTGGAAGGACCACACGTAGAATTGTCAAGAAACTTTCTGGATAATGCGCTGACAAGTGAACAACAGCGCCGACTTGCAGAGAAGCTCTTCCAGCTTGAGGCTTCTGCCACGTTTGAGTGTGTCGACACCAAAAGTGACTATCACCATCCCGTACTAGAGCATACAAGTTTTAACGAGCGATTGATCCTTTTGTCGGTTCAGAAAAGGAATATTCTTGCCGAACTTGCTCTTTGTTTCACCCAAACACAACAGTTTGCACGAGAGTTTGGAGTGCTGTGCGTTCCGGGTGCTGTTTTGTCCGATGGTGATGCGGTTCGCGACGCAGTCCGATGCGTTACCCCATGGGACGCCGTGTGCCCAGCACTGAAGGAGTTCCCCACACTTGCCGAGGGCATCGTCCTATTAATTGAGATACCCTTAAATCGGCTTACCGATCGCCACCACAGATGGGTCGTCCCTGTGCGCCTGAAAGTAAAGACCACGCGATACATCGTCCTCCGCTCCCTTCGTTCTCTTCTTCGAGGCGATTCTCAACCCCGATTGGGCTTATTTCATCTTGCTATAATCAAATGGTCTCACTTGCATGGCATAGACCTCAAAAAGGAGGAGCAGATCGGGGGCGTTTGTCCTCTCAGTCATAAATTTGAACAAAACCTGTGTTCGATGCAAAAAGTACGTCATCGTGATTCAGAGTTAACTGTTGGCGCGGCATTTAGGCAGCTTTTACTACACACAGAGCAAGAGGTGCACGTTCGGCGTTACTTCATCCCTTTGACAGTGGTTCTCTTTTGTGGGCTACCCGGGGCCGGCAAGTCGAGCCTCTGCCAAAGGGTCATCGAACGTTTGAAGCTGCGTTCCTCTGTTTTCTCCTATGGTGTTTGTCTAAGTCGTGACGAGGTGGCTCAATCTGTGCGAAAGCAGTATCAAATCGGTCGCGATTCCACCAGGCACAAGCAACGCCGTTTGCAAGGCCTAATCCATAGGGAGTTGTTATTACGAATCGAGCAACTAAAGAGGTATTGCGCTTATTCTGGATGTGATCGTCGTGGGCTCTTATTGTTTGATGCGTGTAATGTCACGCCCGATGCCCGTCGTGCTTGGCGACGCTGCTTTCCATGTGGTCTGCATGGGGCTTTCTTAGTTTTTGTGGAGTGTAAGGACCAAGATGCCCTTCTCATGCGGCTCTCCCATCGGATGGAGCACGCGACTATCCTGGACGCTGAAGATGCCCAAAGAGCACTTTACGCGGTCAAGAAAAAGTTTGTACCGCCTACACCTGATGAGGGTGTCGGCGTAGTTATTCGTTGCGATACCACAAACACGTCGGTGGATATCCTTGCGGACTCCCTTGTTGATACGTTTTCCGAAAGTACACGGACAACTTCCGTTTTCGTCCCTTATCAGGTACCTTGTGAGAGGATACAGCAAACAGAGTGGATGAATTTCGATGAGCTAGCTGCGTCAGTTGAGTTTGATGAGCGCGGATTGCTTCATGGTCTTTTTGGACCTACAGAAATTGATTCCAATGACTTTAGCTCTTTGATGTGTGCTTCTCAGAATCAACTGCGGAAGGACGCCTTTCCGAAAAGAGCCTTAATCGTCCTTAAACTTGACATGTCGGTTGAAGACTTGCGAAATGCAGTCGCGAGTGTGTTGATGAGTGTTCTGAATGCGCACCTGTGCACGCAAAAAGCTGAAGTGATCGAATCTGCATTACTGCACATTCCATGGTGGCGCCGGTTACTATCAGGAATCGTTATTAAAGGAGCAGAAGGGGCGCACAGCACGAAGTTGGATGCCACCGTTGAAGCTGGGCAAATCAAATGGATCAAGGGCTGGTTACTGCAAGGGAAGATGGAGGCGACTGTACTCCCCGCAACCCTCAGCTACGCCCTTACGGAGCGCTTTGAGAAGAAACCGGCCTTCGCCCACGTCACTCTCTTATATAGTCCAGATGGTGAATCCGGGATAGCGGATTTCTGGCGACGCTCCGGGCTTCGTCTAGGGCAGGAGCTGAAGGTTGAACTCAGGGAACTCCTAATGGATCGCCTTGCCGTCTGTTTCACCGCCACACTTCTGGGTGGACGGACCTGTCAATGGCCAGCCTGCGATCGCGGTGAGTCGGAGGGTCAGGCTTTGCTTGATTACCTGCACGTGACGGTTTGCACAGCTGCTGGTGTTAATGGAAAGTATTCGGGGGAAATGTTGCACCATTTCAAAGAGTGGCAGCAAGACGATGAGGATCTCGAGGTGTGTCGGGCCGCAAAGTGCGCAAAACGCAGTCGGCAAAAGTATCACAACTTCGTGAAGCTATCTCTGTCTACGCCACTCATGTGCTCAGGGAACGTTGTGGTATTATCTCCTCAATCCCTTCAGGATTTTGCATGAGGAAGGGCGAGGTGATTCCACTATACTCCTTAGTTTCTATGAAGCACAAATCGTTGAATGCGACTTTTGTGGTTATTTCATTCTTCAACAATCATTTTTATGTGGCTTATTATTCATATTTTCTCTTTTTTTTAGTTATGCAAATTTAGGAAGTGTGGATTTAAGCATTGCTTGCAAAAACATACCAAGTAAAACACAAATATACACGTAAACAGATATAGCTTAAAATGTCGGACACTATGCAGGCTGGACAGAAAACTCAACAGACACGAAATGCTTACATGCAGCTTTTCTCGGACACTTTCTCAGATGAACTAGTCGGAATGTATGAGAAGGATGGTAGCGCCGATGCGATGCAGCATCTTAAGGATTGCATCGAATGCGGTGTGTCGGTGTGGGGCTTTCCACTAGTTCTCCCTAACCCACTCGAAAACTAACAAATGCTGTGGATAAATTTAAAATATTTTACACTGTACCACTCGACATGCGAGTAAGCTATGAATTGTCAGAAAAGATCTGTCTTCTCAGCTAGGCTCTTGTTGAGTAAAGCCTGATGGTTCTTATATCAACTAGAGGTGCTATCTCTCTAAATGAGTTGTCCTATTTATCTTTTTCATTCCTATAGTAGTGGAAATGCACGCCTAGCTCCAATAGTGAAAGCTTTGCATTAACGTTTCCTATTTAATTACATTCTGTTTTGTCTTATATTTAGTTGCTACCGAGAAGAACTACCCCTTACGATACCCCAAAGCTGATGCTCCTGATGCAGAGTTGGCGCCGTTTTTCCCCATTCCGTCGACTGGTCAAGCAGTGCAGCCCGCAACGTTCCTATGTCACCTGTTCTCTAGTTCTGCGTAAGGACTCCTCAATGGATTTCAAAACATCCACTGCGTTACCCACCACTACTAAACCCCTCATGCAGTCAGCTCCGCTTTTGACACCTGAGGAGCTTGATAAAATTATTCGCTTAATTGAGAACGATCCTCGAATTCTGATAGAAGTGGTTGCTAACTTGGAGCCTGAGAACCGTCGCCGCCTAATTGTGACTGGTGGAGCGATGGAATGGTTCGGCAAGGAAAGCGCCGCGTCCGAGCTTGAAAAGGCCGATACTGACAAGGATCGTCTCATATCCCCAAAAGATTTTGATAACTGGTTTGAAAGCGCCCTAAAGCGAAATCAAGAGGGAAAAAAACGTGCGGAGGCATCGGTAGCGGCCATCCACACCGACAGTACATCTACGCCAGCCTCCGGTTTGTCTGAAACTCGTTCCTTGGAGGGAAACCCCGCGGAAGAGTCGGATCTTTCTCTTAAGATTCTGGCGCTGATTGCCATAGGGGCTGGCTTGCCTTTTGTTGGGTTTGGTTTTCTGGATAATGTAGTTATGATTCTGGCTGGAGACTTCATCGATGGCACTCTCGGTTTTTATCTTAACTGCTCCGTGATGGCCTCAGCCGCCATGGGAAACGTGTGCTCAGGTATGCTGAGCATGCAGGTCCACGGGCTTATCGAGAAGGCAGTGCAATGTTTCAACTTTAAAACTCCGTTGTTGACTAAAAAGCAAATGAAGGATCGACGTGTGTTTCTTTCTGGGCACATTGGTGGAACGCTAGGCATTCTGATTGGACTTTCCCTAGGCATGCTTCCGCTTCTTTTCCTGGACATCGACACCACTGAGAAATCTGATTACGCCATGTTCCAACGTTGGGATGTAAATAAACGCGGGTTTATAGAGGTTTCTGAAATTAAGAACATGCTTTCCGAGTTAAACCTGGCGGAGACTGAAGAGAAGGCATGCATGCTTATTGAAAAGTATGGTAAGGATAACAGAATGAATTTTGAGCAGTTCAATCATTTCAGAAAAGATTTACGCGATGGGAAGCCTATTTTTGGTTTCTTCGACAATTAGTATGTGTATTGCTTGATTTAGTAGCTTTTATTCGTGTTTTAATTTGGTCTTCAGGTGAGATACATTCAAAACTATCATAGTATTTTCTAAAGGTTGGAAAAGACCGTCCCGAGAAGTAAGAAGTGTTATTCATTTTGAGTCTATCCTGCTGTGTGTCTTTCTCTGATTATTTGGTGGTATAATTTTCGCATTCAATACTAGCAAATACAATCTCTTTACTCATGTTTAGCTTCTGTTACTGTAATCATGACTGTAAACAACCTTGGAATGACCCCTTTAAGGATGCTAGGAACATTTAGCTTAATGTAGCTCAGTGATATTATCAACAAAATGATAAAGCTCGTCTTACCCGATGCTGCTCCATGTCGTGGCATCGGTGTATTACTTATATAATCAAGTTACCGCTAGCACATATATATTGGTTTCCCTATCCAGGATCGTGAACGAATGCTCTTGGTTCATGGAGAGTGCCAATGTTAATCTTTCCATTTTACTTCTTGTAAACACTTCCTTTCTTGATTTCCGTGGCTTCGCGTATTAGCACGTCCTTTCTCGAATCTGACCGCCACCTTTCTGCTTATGGATGGAAAAAGTGCATGGCAATTGTGCAGTCAATAAAGACAAACTGAAACTTACCTGTGTTTATCCCTGTTTGGTTTTCCAAAATAGTTTTTAGAATGGGGAGCAACACGGGTTCAGCACCTCTTGTTTGCCAAAGGCGTCCCTGGCAAGCACCAGATATTCCATCTCATAATCACCCCAATTCACGGTGAAAATACGTGACTAGAATCCATCTCATCGGTTCACTGGAGCCTTTAGTACGATGCGCTTTCGGGTGACGATTTCACCTGTCTATTTGAAGTGGTTCTGCTTGCTCGATTCTTATCGAAATGACAACATCAGTAAACATGTGAAGCAACTAAAGACGCACCTCCAGCTTTATTAATATGCCTTAATCCATGGATATTCTGCGTGTGATATTTTTTTCTGGAAACACGTCAAGACTCTACAGGCAAAAATATTTCCTCGAATTTATTACATTTAATATTGCGATTCATTTCTTTGGTTTGCGACATTTATGAGGCAAATATATATCCTACGCTTCCCTTTTAGACGCCAATCCGCTTCTTTTAGCGTCCATAGAAAGGGTGTACACAAAAAGTGTCAATATATGTAGCTTCATTGGCTGCATTTCTTTTTCTTTTCATTCTCTTCAGGTAGTTATATTCTCTGTGATAGAAATAGTTAAATGGATGCTCTATGAGGTCTTCACGCGAATTATTTCTGACATGTGTTTACGAATTGGCACACCGCTCACTGTGAAACGAATTTCGTTTCTTTTGTGCAATTTAATAGATGAGGATCTAGTTGATGCGCTATGCAGGCGCATGCTCAATGAGGGAATACTGGTCAGGTGTACCGAGGACGCTTTGACGACCCGTACCATGGCGAAGATCTCTGTCGTGAATTCCCTGATTACCGAGGAGTACCAGCAGTTAGGTATGACGATGATGCAAGTTAACGAGAGAAGTTGGGTCCGCTACATCCCGCCGACTTCAGAGCACCGTTTCTTCGAGCTGAAACCTTCCAGTATTAGTGCGGATGCGGGTCTTGGCCTCTACGTACGGACCACCCGCCGCATTCCTCAAGGCTGCGTGCTGTGCGAATACCGTGGTCGATTGCTCAAGGTGTTGCCCAAGAATATTGAGAACGGCACGTATGTGGTGCGGGTGCGGGATACCGCTTGCTATCTCGACGGCGTCACTGAAGATGGCTCGCAGCATCTTTCTCTCGCGACCTTCATCAATGACAACGGGCCTTTAAAAGCAAACGCCGCCATGATGGAGTACAGCGGGCATCCAGGACGAGTTTTTCTGGTGGCTAACCGAGACATTCAGCCAGGGGAAGAGATCTTTGTCGTGTACGGGGCGAAGTACTGGGGATTCACCTCGTATGCCGAACTTAGGGAAAAGGCGAAGAAACGTAGCAAACGGAGCCGTGACCTCGTCGAGGATGACGCAATAGCTTGGCGCGATCTGATCATGCCTTGCCGTAGATGCGGGGATAATATCGTCAGACGCTCCTTGCGTCTGCATAGTGAGTACTGTGGCGATCCTCTTGTAAAAAAAAAGCTTTTACATTTAGATTGCCTGCCTTTTCATGATTTCACGGCAGCCGACGTATCGTGTAAGGTGCTATATGAGCGCCGGAATAAGACACTGCAGCGCGCTAAGTCTTTTGTAAAGCTGTCCGAACCTCAGACATTTTCGCATACTCATGAAGATGCTGTTGGGGATTTGGAATTTACATTTAAAGAAAGTGTGTGATCTTACAAGTGATACCGAACTAATCATGTGTCGGGCTTTAATATTGTCATTTCACACGGTCTTATTTATTCATTTAGCATTTAACTACAGTCGTTGCATTTTATATGGTGGCTGTTGACTCTCATATTGAAGCGTTTGTACTATTTTCCTTATTACCCTTGTTGATTTTTTTTTTAGGTCACATTATCTAATATATATTTCATTCTCGTTTACAATGCAGGCTATGCATATTCTCCTTAGTCGTGTGGGAGCCAAAGAGGCCGCTGCCGCAGCAGCTAAATTTCAAGGTGCTACCGAAGGCTACAGTGGCATCGTACTCCGAACAGTTGAGTTCAAACCCGAGAGCATATATGAGGTCTCAGACGGCACACTCGCATTTCCGTGGAGATCAAAGCAAGGGTCATTAAACGCTTTTGGAACCGTTCATGGTGGTGCTCTATCCACTCTAGCGGATGTTTTTACGAGGATTCATCTTAAAGCAGCCGTTCCTCAATTAAATGCTGCCACAATCAGTTTTGAAATTAGCTTTTTGTCTCCCGTTTTCGAGGAGAAGGAATGCGTATGCGTTACGCGCTTAGTTGGTAAACGCGATAGTACTGTCTTCACGGACTTCTCGCTCGAGGACGGAAATGGGTCCATTTATGCTCGTGGAACTCATACTCTTTCGTTGTCGTAATTCAGCCCTTTATTATTTAAAGTGTTTCACAAAAAAATAAAATGATTACATGTTGTTTTTCTTCGGTTGCTTATCTTTTACCTCCTCCTTACCTTGTTCTGATGTGCCTAAATACAAATCTATCATTACAGGATCTGTCCAAGCTTATCAATTTTTGGTGTTTAGCCTTTTATAAATGTGTTAACTTGGAAATAAAAATTCTAATTTCCTCCTCCGCACAAATGGTATTCCATTTTCGTCCTGTATAAATAATGTTCTACTAGTAGTAGTATCATGCTAATGCTCTCCTTTTCTTTTCCTATCTCTGGAGTTTAAGTCGATTTCCTCATTGGTTATTTTATAAAAGCAAAAGTCCCCCATTCACACATTTCTTTAAGGGGGAAGTTTCTGTTTGATCTCTTCGCTTGCTCTTTTTGCACCATGTCTGCCCTCGATAATGCTGAACTTGGTGAATTGGTAAAAATATTTCAAACGCTACAGCGTGAAGAAGTTGCCAATCAGATCACAGAACGTAATGTGGTTGATATTGTGAATATTCTCCTCAAGAAAAACATTATCGAACTGGTCTATACCACGGATGGCAAGGAGTACCTCACCCGAGACGAACTGAAGCGTGAGATAGTCGATGAGGTCCATGCCAGCTTCGGACGCCTCAACGTTGTAAATCTTCCCCGGTTGCTCAGCGTCCACCCCCGACACGTGGAGCAGGCGCTGCCGGAGGTGCTCGAGGAAACCCCTGGCCTCCGACTCGAGGACAGCGAGCTGATGACGGACCAGTACCTATGGGAGGCTGTTCAGGCCGCGGCAGACGCCCTCAACGAGCATGGCTCCCTCCCTGTTACAGAGTTTGCCTCCCGGTATCAGTTCAGTTCGGGTTTTGCCATGAGCATCTTAACGACGGCGGTGCAAGAGGGACGTCTTGACGCCGTTATTCAGAATTCCGTCTTGTACACCAAACGATATGTTAGCTCACAGAAGATAATTCTGCGTTCTGGTCTGCTAGCGGTAACACAGCCGTTGGACTTGGCCGCGTTTTATGAGCGACATCAGCTCTTCACTCCGCTTATGGACACCCTCATCACTGAGCTTCAGTCTGAGCTGCCTGGGGTGTTCCACGGCCACACGTACACCCCATCCGTTTTTGAACGCTACCGCACAAGCCAAATTGAAAATATTTATACCTCTAATGGTTACATCGACTACGCCACACTCCAGCGCATGGGGATTACAAACGCCAGGCAGTACTTGCTTTCCCGCTACAATCCAAGCGGTGGCCCCGCGGACGCCTCCCCTACGGGTTCTCCCGTCACCGTCGACACCCAGCGACATGGGGGGAAGCGGAAAAACGCCAACAAGAGCGCGCAAAAGAACGCCAAGGATGAGGTCTTGCCCATAGTACGAGCCAACAAGGAATACCCGCTCTGTGGGTATGCACTGAGCCTTTGCTTCATGTCGGATCGTCATCTCGCCAACATGGTAGCGCTGCAGCCCATCGCAGAGGCCGAGGTGGCGGCCGTTGACGTTGCCCAGATCCTTCCGAATTGTGTCGACTTAGAAAAGGATTGGCCACTGTTGAGGCCTCGTTTATGCGAGCTCTACTCTGGGCTGGATAAATGCGATCTAATTGCTAACGTTATTTTAATACGAGAAGATTTCAAGGTGAAGATGAGGCCGCTATTGGTGAGCGCCTTGCAGTCGCAAGATGTATTGGTTCAGTCTGGTAAGCAGAAACTGGAGGAATCGGTCATCAAAGTGATTTCTGATCAACTGGACCTAGACCCTGAGCAGTATGACGGAGTACTCAAAGAGATCGCAGACCGCTGGAGTGATTTCATCGAAGATATTCTGCGACAGGTAGATGCTCTGCGTAAAGGTAAGGCTGCCTCTCAGGCGAAGGAGTTACGCCAGTCTCTCATCAGTAAAATGACTAACATATGGGTAGAGCTGGTGGTTCTGTCTAAGGGAATTCGATGGGCTAAGCTCGAGTTTGATGAGGACACCTATGTGGCCTTGAATCGGTACGTACTGGGAGGCCAAGCGTATGAGCTCTGTCGGGAAGTTTTCCTCAATGAGAGCTTGGATAATGTGAAGCTGTTCAAAGAGATACGTACAGCACTTGATCAAGTGTCTAACATAAGTAGCCTAACGAAGGTGCTTGCTCCTTTTCCAGAAAAGGAGCGCCAAGCCCTTATGCCTATAGTGGATGCTCTAAAGGGCAAAGAGTTGGGACCTCTCATGAATCTTTTACAGAGTATGAGTGGTGTTGGTCACATTGCGATAGCGTCGTTCCACGCGCCTAACAAAAAAATCGAACGCGATACGTACACAAAAATGAAGATGGCAGTGGTAGAGGAAGTTCAGGCAACTTCCTTTGGGCATAGTGCCGCGGAGAACGGTGTGTTGTTCGCGGCTTTGTGCACGATTTTGATACATCACTTGTTTCACGTGCACGTTAGAATACCAGGTAAAATGGTTCGCTCCGTTGTTGCACGTCTCGCTAAGGAGTCAAATGCACCTGCTAACCTTGCTGCAGTGCATGAGGCAGTTTCGAGCGCTCTGCAGTCCAATCAAGTGAGCACTGAGAGCTTGGACAAGTTGAACCTATTTCGTGAACAGGTGTTGGGGGATATATTGAACTAAAATTCATTCCTATTGCCCTTCCCTGAGAACGCATGTCCGATGGTGCTTCACTCGAGACACGGGGTATTTTTTCCCGTTTGTCTGCGTGATGGAAGAAACTCTATGGTGTTTTGACCTGCAACTCTAGTATGTTAAATTGTGGTAACTGTTTTCTTTTGTTTTTATCCTTCTCTTTTTTTGTTTTCTCCCCAACATCAGGTCTACGAGTGAGCATCAAATTCAACTGATTTTGACTGATTGACTGCACTATTGCACATGCAAGAGGTGAGAAGCATCGATCCCAATGAATCTTTCTTTTCCACGCCGTAGCGCGTGGTCTTCACATGTATCCGGAAAGAAAACGGTTACTGAACTATACGACCAACTCGTTCGTAAAGGCATAATTTCTTTTGATCCAGGTCAGCGCACCATAACTGAGTCATGTGAGCCTCTAATATCCCTTATTAATCGATACAAAGATGGTCCCTCGTTACCTCCCGCTCAACTTAGCTCAAGCGCACATCATCATAGCCTTGTCGCCGCAAAGCATCTTTGGTATGTAATAAAGCGTTTCGCATCGAAGGCAACATATCTTCTAGTTCCAAATGCACGTAATCGCAGCCTTGAAGTTTCTCATCCTGTGTGCTTGGGTGCACTGGAAAAGCGAGGCTTGTATATCTGGGGTTCTGTCGGCATTGGGAAGACAATGGTACTCGATTTATTCGATATGTGTGACCTGCCGTTGCCAAAACGCCGCTCTCATTTGCATTCTTTCATTACGGATATATCAAACCGCCTGGTGAAAGCCGAGTTAGACCTGCGCCAGCGCCGGCTAGCTGCACAGTCTCCTTCGGATAAGGCGCGATTAGCACACGTATATCCTATGGATCTGGTTGTCGACGATGTCCTGCGTGAATCACCTATATTGTGTTTTGACGAGTTTCAAACCTTTGACGTGGCACATGCTGCTATCCTTGCATCCTTCTTTAGGAATGCCTTCGCAAAGGGGATTTTTTTCATTACCACGAGCAATCGGTCACCAGAAGACATCTGCAAGGTATCCTCTTCCTTTACACAGTTTCTACCAATGCTGAGGGCGTACTGCCACATATTTCACGCAGAAAACATCAAGGACTATCGATACAAACCCGTGAAGGAGCACCACCACGCAAATGTATTTCTGTATCCCAACACCAAGGCAAATGCCGAGCAGATGCTCCAACGATTGAATCGTGGGCTAAAGACCTCCCACGGGGGCCCTCAGTGGATGGAGGACTACACCTTGTGGCATCACAGCCGTTGCATGGTGATCCCGTACTACGCGAACGGTGTTGCGGTTTTGGACTTCCAGGACGTCTGTGGGGGACGGCAGGGGCTGAGCCCGGTCGACTTTGAGAACTTAGCCCACCACGCCCATACTGTGTTCATCACGAACGTCCCGAGGATCAGCACCGCGAATCGCAACGCGGCCCACCAATTCATCGTCCTGGTCGACGAGTTGTACCAGCACAATGTTAAGCTGCTTTTCACCTCAGAGGTGCCATGGTATCAGCTGCTGGAGCCCGAAGGCCACTTTACAGGGGCTAATGCATTAGGGCCCTCCATTAACTACTACTCCGAGGGTGAGGATGACCGAAGTGGGTATACCGCAGTCTACAGCTTTCAAAACGAAGAAGAATTCATCAGCTTCACGCGGATCAAAAGCCGATTGCATGAAATGGGTTGCAAATCTTATCTTCTCCGACAACATGAACGTTTTGTTGTTTCGGATTTTGATTTTAATTCTCTTATGGAAGACCTATAGCGTCTTTCGTATTGCTGCCTGAATACATACATCATTATTCTGGCTCGATAGAGCCTTAGAACTGTGAGCTCACTTGTTTAATGGGAAACGCATCAATTATGCATATCGTCATCCATTTCTGCTTTTTTTTACTTTATGGGGTTCATTCTTTCATAGTTCTTTTTTGCCTTTTTTACCTATTAAGGTAGTGCTTCTTTCTTAAGAAAAAAACTCTCGCTTAATCGTTTTTCAAATTTTCAGCATATATATTGACACCTGGTGGTTCAAAGTTAATTTATTAGTGGATAAAGGAGTCCAATAGTATTGAAAAAAATAGTAAGATTTTTTTATCCAGTTGTTTTTACTTTTATGTCAACTGCCCAACGCAAACGTGGAGTAAGCTTCCGTATTCATTATTGTAATTCAAGCGATGTGTCGTATGAACTCAATGCTGCGGAGGAAAGTCTTGTTTCCTTTCGCCGCACCCCATCTTTAACCGATGTTGGACAGTTTTTGATTCCACCAAAACTAGACGCCGACAAGGACAAATTGACGGTTGTTCTAGATCTGGATGAAACGCTTGTATACGCGCGGATGGGACCACTTTATGTGCGCCCCGGGATGGAGCAGTTAATGACCTTTTTAGCGGAGCATTGCGAGGCTGTGGTGTGGACGGCAAGCATGCACCTATATGCGGATGCGGTTGTAGATCAAATCGATCCATGTGGTGCGATTCGCCACACCATTTACAGACACCAGCGCTGGTTCAATGGTCAGTCCGCAACAAAGGAACTGCAGCTGCTCGGCCGTGATTTAGACTCCACTATTATCATTGAAAATACACCAGACTGCCTGCTGGGCTATGAGCAGAACGGCGTCATTGTCGAGGACTACGAAGGGGGTGAGTTAGAGGACACGACCTTGACAAGATTGCTTGACTTCATTAAAGATCTGGTGGCGCAGCGGGCATCTGATGGTATCACCGTACCGGAGTTTATCCGAAACAGCCATCACTTACGTCTGGGTGAGTTGCCATCGAACAAGGGTTCCTCACTGAAGTGCTACTGCTTAAAATCGGCTGACGAGGCCTCTGTCTCTGAAGCGATGCACAGAAAGCGAAAACCATTTAATCCGCTTAAACCCTCCACTCTTAGCCACGATCAACGCACGGTTAAACATATCTTGGATCGAAAAGAGGGGAAGTCGCTTCAAAACTGGAGACATAAGGGGCGAATTATGATTCACTAGCTTCATCTCACGTGCGCTCGCATACTTATAATTTTTCCTTACAGTTGCTTGAAAAACATGAAATTAAGCAAATATTTGCTTTATCTTTATGACAGGCTGCTTTAGCTTTGGAAGGGGAGACTGATTTGCTTCTGTATTTTAGCTTATTTCACTTAAATCTTTATTTGTGAGTAAAGGGTGTTATATATATTATATATATATATATATTATTTCTTAGGATTGACGAGATGGGGATTTTATTTCTTTATTGTCGTTTCCCCTCCTTATAAGGTTCATTTATCGTACTGGATTACATGTCTAAGAGTGATGTTTTTACTTTTTTGGGGGGTGGTTACTCTTTTCCCTTTACCCAAAACAAAAAATTTTACTCATAGGTGATTTTTGAAAGAACTTGCTAAATTCGTGCAGGATGCCTCCTCAAACAGGAAATTATACCATCTGCTTTTTGTTGCTTTTTGAATATCATTAAAATATTGCTGTCAAAGCAAGTGCCTACTTTTGATAGTAATATGGTAGAAAACTTGCATGAATATCATTTTTTTCATATATAATTTGTAGCTTCTAGATTTCCTTATGATTTCTTTGTACATGGAAAATTGCTTCCAGCTCTCTCAAGTTGTCGTCATTTTAGTTGCTCATTTTTTTTCCCTTTATTTTAAACATGTATAAGCATGTGAATTGATGTTGTAAAACGCGTCAGTCTCCCTTTTGTATGAGAAAGCAGTTGGCTCTTCTGTTTGTAAAAGTATACGCATAGAGATAGTGAAGGCTTTGTTAAAGGAAATACAAACGTAGCATCTAGCGGATAATATATACGTATATATATATATTGTTGTTAAAAATTATTGTTTTTAACTAGTAAGAAAGGAAAAAGAATAATTCCCTACAATAATACATGTTAGTTTTTCCCTTTGTGGAATTTTGTCCTTCACGAAAAGGTGAATGCGCTCACAAAACTACATGAATAATATTAATCGCTGGAAAAATCTGAAACTAAAAAGAGGAGAAAATTACCAATTACAGGATAATAATATGCTTTTAAATGCTTTTTATTGTTTTAAGCATAGATGATGTAGTATATAACACTGATTTGTTGAATTCAGTTTGCTTTACTTTTTTAACGGTGCTAATTTCCATTTGTAGCTCACCTTTAATGCTTTCTGTGTTCATCCTGAGGCTGTTTTTATCGCTATTAAGAGCGCAATGATATGCGCTTATTTAAGGACAAAAACATAACTTGTCCGTTTTCCATTATGGTTTTCCATGCTTAATTGCACCCCTGCCCTTTCCTTTTACATGATGCATGGTGGTTTTTCAGTACCGGATGAGGTACCTCCTTTTTCCTGTATTTTCTGTCGTGCCCAAATGCGTTTCATCCAATAGTGTTTAATACTGCCATAATTTAATGAAATTTTTTTCCCACAAAGCTGGAACTGTATCAGATAATGATCGAAAATGAAAGATTTGTTTCACCACAAGAGGTGGCATTTTGTTGACGCTAATATCTTCAAATGCTAGTATAACGATATATATATATATCGTTACATATATTTATATATATATATATGCATTCTAGGGGGAAGTTAGTTTATCTGATGGCATTGAGGCTATTCATCAAGCGATATTTTTCTTGGATCCATTCTCTCTATGTGTTTCTATTTCCTTATGTCGAGCATTTCATAGTACAAACTAGGTAAACCTAATACATTAGTTGATTCACTCATTGGAAAGAGAATCCCCTTTTCTGTGTATAGAGACTTATTTTATTTTTCAAAGGCACGGTGTTCAGACCCGTGCGTGCTTTTCCCTTCAATCTATCAGATAATATCTCTCCTTTTTTAACGGATAGGTGTTCAGCTAAACAAGGTCTTCGTCATGGATTTCGTGCTGCGAAAAGTTCAGGAAAAGATTCAGCGAAGCCTAAAATCAAGTGGCGGTGCTAAGTACTTTAGTAACTCTCGCAATGGTGAGGGTGCTGAGCTACTTAGGGACTTGAAAAGCGCTGACCTGAGTCGTCAAAAAGATGCGGTAAAGCGCGTTATTGCAAAGATGACAATGGGGCGGGATGTCAGCTATCACTTTGTTGATATCATTAAGCTCAGCCAGACTGAGGACCTCGAGTTGAAGAAGCTAGTATACCTCTACGTTCTCAACACCGCGAAGTTGCAGCCTGACAAAGCCATCCTGGCGGTAAACACCTTTTTGCATGACGTTTCGAGTCCGTCTCCGATTGTTCGAGCGCTGGCGGTGCGAACTATGCTTTGCATTCGCGTCCCCGCGGTGTTAGATCACTTGACAGTGCCTTTGCACTGCGCTGTTACGGACCCCGACCCATACGTTCGTAAAACTGCTGCGATCGGTATCGGCAAGGTGTTCCATCACAATATGAACATTTTCTACGAACACGGTTTTGCGGATGAGCTTCTTAAACTTCTCTTTGACAGCAACCCATTAGTTGCATCCAACGCAGCTGCTGTGGTGTGTGAGGTTAATAATTATGGGAAAAAAAAACTGGACGAGACCCCTGACTGGCATAGTCGGATCCTGATCAACCTCCCGGAGGCTACCGAATGGGGGCAGGTCTACCTGCTGGAGCTCCTCTCGACGCTTTGCCCGAAGGATGCGGAGTCCGCCGAGGTCGTCGTCACCCGCGTGCTGCCGCGCCTCAACCACGCCAACCCTTCGGTCGTGATGGGGGCGATTAAGGTGATCGCCAACGTCGCCAATCGCTGCCCGACGGAGGTGATCGAGCGCGTAACGGCACGCATCAACGCCGCGCTGCTCACCTTGGCAGGGGCAAACGACCCGGAGACGAAGTACATCGTGTACAAAAATATCCACGCGCTGATGGTGATATTTCCTAACATCTTGCGCACCAACCTTGACGCTTTTTACGTCCGCTTCAACGATCCGCCGTATATCAAGGTGGAGAAACTGAGGCTGCTATTGAGGCTTGTGACACCATCCACGGCCCCCGCCATAGTAAACGAGCTGGCGGAGTATATCACCGAGGTGGATATAGTCTTTCTGGAGGAAGTTGTTTCCGCCATTGCGTTGCTGGCCATCAAGATGGAAAACGTCTCGACCCCATGCTCGGAGTTGCTCATGAAGGCGCTTCAAATGCGTCCTGAATTGCTTCCATGCACCGTGATCGCCGCCAAGAATATTGTGCGTAAGTATCGGAGTCTTCTTCTTCTTGAACCGCTAGCCAACGAGTACGGTCCCGATGCCATCATCGACGAGGAAGCAAAAGCATCGTTTGTTTGGATGCTTGGCGAGCATTGCGACTTCATCGAAAACGGCCAGGCTATCCTGGATCAGTACATTGGGTCCATCATGTCACATGAGCCTTCTGTGCAGCTTAGCATTCTCGGGGCGGCCATCAAGGTGTTTCTGCGGAATCCCTCCGAGATGCAGGCGAGACTGGCCACCTTGCTCGAGACCCTAACGACGCAGAGCGAGGATCCTGATGTGTGCGATCGCGCCTTTGCGTACTGGCGGCTATTGTCGAAGGATCTAGAAATAGATAAAATGAAGCGAATTGTGGAAAGCGAAAATTCTTCGGTAAATGTGGATCACACCTTTAGCGATGCGATGATGATGACGGATCTTAAAAAGTCAATTAATACCGCCGCTGTGGTTTTTGGGCAACCCTTCCAATCCTTCCTGCCGCCCTACGGCCTTGCAGATACGGATCTTGCTGATGAAGATGAGGGGGACGAAGACGAGTATACAACCGACAACGTGGAGGAGAATAAGTATCCTACTTCTGGGAACGCGCAAGCTGAGGTTTCTTCTCAGATTACCGCACCATCTCAGCATAAACCTGACACTGCCGTGGAGGGGTCCTCTGCCAAGCCCTCCGTGGCTCATCACGATCCGCTCGATACGTTGTTTTCAAGCGCCTCGTTTTCCTCGCCTTCTTTGGTGCCGCCCCCAATGACAAACGAGGAGAAAAAGATTTCACCCCCCCCGACTGTAGTGAAGCAGACGAATGCAATGGATGATTTGTTTTCATAGCAGGTGGGCGATCACACATGAGGTAAACAAAATTGCATATGAGTTGCACAAACCCATTGGAAAGAACTTTGGTCGTTTTTTATTTTCCTTGCGATTTCATTTAGATTGGCATAGGAAGGAGATTGTTATTAATGTTTTTTTTTGTTATTTTCAGAATCCCAGAATGAGCTTCACTGCTCTCATTGTGGGTAATGCAACAAGAGTGGTAAATGCAGAATCAACCGTCACATTTACGTTTTGAACAAGAGCAACGGCAACAACAACTACATGTATCATTGAGTCGTATTTACTGTAAATCTTTTTGATATATTGTTCATTCTGGCTATCGGGTTGTATTTCGTCCTCCTACACTTTTGTAATGGCTTGCAAACCGTATTTCCAACATTTAGTCATCTGATTTAGTATCCTGTGAATTAGTGGATTATCTCAACAAGCAACCCCCTAAAAATATTTTTTCCCATATACTTGCCATGTTCCGTCGTATCGCTTTCATCTTCCCAACCCTAGCGGCATCCACTGCTCGCTTTTACACTCCCTCCGAGCAGCTCAAGAAACTTTACGCTAGTGACTTTGACAAGTCAGAGTTCCCCATCAATATCGCCCCAAGTGATTCTACCCTGTTTGCAAAGTTTCTTTATAAGGCGGTCGAAGAAAACAACAACTTTGAGCCCGTCCTGAAGGACTTCCAGGTGATCGCCGATACCACCCCGAAACTACCCGTCTTCTGGGAGCGCACATGCAAACTTGAGGACATCGAAGCGTTTAAAGACTTGTCAGAACCGACCCTTTTCACGCTTCAGTGGATGCAAAGCAATGACATGCTGGAACTTCTTCCTGAAGTCGCTAATGTTTACGAAACCTATGTTAATGCCAAGTTGAATCAAGCGGTTGCTAAGATTTATGTGGCTCCTGGGAAGAGCGAGGACAATGCAACCATTGGGCGGGCTAAAGAAGTAGCCGAGCAGCTCGCTAAGGATGATAGCAGGCTCTCCGACCGAAGTCTTATCTTCAAGATTTTCACGGACCATACCATCGTCGATGGGTTTGCAGTGGATCTACATGGCATCTTTGTAAATGAAGCTAAAGGTTGTCAAGTGGAGACCTCTGCAGCGGATGAGATCGATTATGCATACATCCCTCCTCCGTCCCTAAAGAAAACTGCTTGGGTAGACAACATCGAAACGGAGGTGTTTAGAAAATTTCTAGATAGTATTGCACAGTACGATATGGAAGAAATGAAAAACGGTGTCTAAAACTTAGATATATTCATTTTAGTATCTACACACCTCTCTTGGGAGAAATCCTTATGCAACATTGTTTATCAGTGCGTGTGTGTATGTGTGTGTTCGTTTTCCAGGAATCTGTACTTGCAAACGGTGCATGCAAGGAAGGAAATCTTTTGACATTAATTATACCGTAGTAGCAGCTATATAGTGTTTCCGGATTAGGTTGGTTGAATGTGTAGAGGAGTCCTAGTAAGAGGAAAAGAAGAAATATGTCCAAAGGACTACTAAATGCAATTCAATGTGAATAAAGATATATCCAGAATTTCTCTTGCAGTCAAATGCCCAACCTCAATGTTCTACACTTTTTTTTGCTAGTTTATTTGCTATCTCACAAGCGCATTTATTATCGATTCTAACTCTTGTAAACGTCATTTTTTTGTAATTTTTGATATATTTATCTATCCGTATAAATCACATTTTTTGTTGATGTCCAATAAATTGATTTACCCGATTGTTCGGCGGTCAGCTGCCGCCTATAGTCTTCATGGGAAACTCATACCAGACCCATACGACTACTTGGAGGATCCATCCAACGAAGAGACTAAGTCTTTCGTCAAGATGCAGAACCAACTGTTTGAAGATGTTATGGAAACATCGTCCGAATTTGCAAAAAAACTTGAAGAGCGTGTCGGTGCCCTGCAGAACTATGCCCGCACAGGATGTCCTTCTTTTTACGGCGGGATGTACTACTATAACTACAACAGTGGCTTACAAAATCAAAGCATAATGATGCGTTCAAAGCAACTCGATGAGCCCGCGGAAGTCTATTTAGACCCCAACGAGATGAACGCGGAGGGCACCACGGCTATCCGTGGCACGGGATGGAGTAAAAATGAGGAGTTGATGGCGTACAGCATAAGCAACAAGGGGAGCGATTGGCTGACCATCCACGTGCGCAGTGCTAAGACCGGTGAGGACCTGCCGGATACGCTTCAGTGGGCTAAATTTACAGGTCTGTCATGGTGGGGAAACGAGGGCTTTTTCTATTCCCGCTACCCATCACTTGGAGAGGATGTGGATAAGGGCGCCGAAACCAATGCGTCAGATAACGCCTTTGTATGCTTCCACAAAATAGGGACGCAGCAGGAGGAAGACGTGGTGATCCTCAAGGTCCCGGAGCACCCGTTGTGGAATTTGAGTGCTCAGGTGTCAGACTGTCAATTATACCTTATTGTGTGTATTACGGATGGGTGTGAGCCGAGGAATCTTATCTGGATTGCACCACTTCCGTCTTCGGTGGAAGGTCTGTCGAAGCTATTAAAGTTTCAGAAAGTGATCAACGAATTCGTTGCAGAGTACGGCTATCTTGGTAACGACGGGGAAGATTTTTATTTCACATCCACGAAGGGGGCGCCGCGAAGGAAGGTTATATGTATGTCTCTTAAGGATCAAAGTGAACAGGATGTGGTTTCAGAGCAATCTTCCTTGCTGGATCACGTGGCTTTGGTCAAAGAAACGCTTATTTTGGTTTATCTGGAGGACGTGAAAAATGTTCTCTACTACAGAACTTTGTCTAACAGTACCCTGCATCGGTTGGACCTGCCCATTGGGTCTGTTGTTGCGTTTTTTGCTGAGCGCGAGAAGGAATTTGTGTCCTTCAAGATCTCTTCCTTCCTGCTGCCAGGTCGCTCTTTCGTGATGCGCATCAATGACCCCCAAGGCTCTCTCAAGATATTCAAGGACGACGCTATCAGTGGAATTGACCCGGATAAATTTCAAATAAAACAAGTGTTCTACGAGTCCCCGGACGGCACGCGCATCCCGATGTTCATCATCCACGGCAACTCACCGGTAACATCTTCATCCCCCCTTCTGGTGTATGGCTATGGGGGGTTCAATATCTCTCTCACGCCGTCCTTTAACCCCTACCATTTCATTATGCTGTCCAATCTCCGTGGTGTGGTTGCAATTCCCAACATTCGCGGGGGCGGCGAGTACGGTGAAGAGTGGCATAACGCCGGCCGTCGTGCGAACAAACAGAACTGCTTCACGGACTTTATTGCCGCCGTGAAGTATTTGCACTCCGAGGGTATCGGCTCTCCTCAGACCACTGCAATCATGGGTGGCTCGAATGGAGGACTTTTGGTTGCAGCGGTTGCCAATCAAGCCCCAGAGCAGGTAAAGTGTGTTGTCTGCGCTGTCGGAGTTTTGGACCTGTATAAATTTCATAAATTTACTATCGGACATGCATGGATATCGGACTACGGCGATCCTGACAAGGAGGAAGACTTCAAAATCCTCGAGAAGTATAGCCCGATACACAATATCAAACCAGACACAAAATATCCTGCGATTTTGGTACTGACTGGGGACCATGACGATCGCGTGGTACCGTTGCATTCACTGAAGTACGTGGCGACGCTTCAGCACACAAATCCCATTGAAGGTGGGCCTTTCTTGGCTCGCATTGAAGTGGCTGCTGGCCACGGCGCAGGCAAACCTACAAGCAAACTCATCAAAGAAAAGTCTGATATGTATGCCTTTATTGCAAAGAGTATTGGAGCCACATGGTATGACCTATAAGGGTTGGTTTTCTATTTTTTGTTTCTCCCTCCAGAATAAAAAATAACAAGGGTATTAAATATATTCATCTATACTCTTTGAGCTTAGCAATGAAAAGTTTTACGGTTACGTTAACCCATCATAATGTTGTATACGGTAATATATATATACATACATACATACATATATATATATTTGTGCCCCTTCACAATAGAACAAGCGGTCAAACTTTTATGCGTTAGTCAAGAAAAAGCGGAAAAAATAACATGTCACAAATGCACACAAGAGAGCAACCACCTTTGAACAATATATAAGAAAAACATATACCCATGAAGTTCATCTGTCCCTATTTCATCTCCAAAGTGCACGGCCCTAAGGAAGGACAAGCACAACACACACACACTTCGGTATTGACCCATTGGGCCTCTTTGCAAGGAAGATGGCCACCGTGGACGACGCGCCGTCGACCACCCCACGGTCCTCCCTCACCACAAAGCGACCCAAGCCGAAGAAAACGCTCTGGGAGAGGCTGGTGACGGACCTCTGGAGGGAGCCCCTTAACGCGCGCAGCCGCACACGAGACCGGATGGGGCATATCGACTTCGGCATGGTTCTCCCCCCCACCCGCGCGCTGTTCTACTGCATGCTCTGCCCATACCTCGCCTACGCTGTGTCGTTGCTTGGGCTCTATGGGTTCTACCGCTGTCTCCGCAGTATGGTGTTCCCCAAGTACTACCACCGCGACCGCTACTCGAAACGTGTGATGTACGGCGTGCAGAAACGAGTCTACGATCCGAAGCACAAGAGGATTCACGAGATCCAGATCGACGACGTTGAGGAGATACGGCATGCGATACAAGTCGTCGGCGAGGCTCGCAATCAATTCATCGACGACCCTGAGCACCCTGGAACGGCGTATTTAGTCATTCAGCAGCGTATTATGAAAGCGGAGGCGATTTTTACAGGCGAAAACTGGGCCTGGGCGTTCGTGTCCGATAGCTGCCGCTATCTAACCCCTGTTTGTTTTGCGTACCTTTTCCATCCGAGCTGCCGACGACTAAATGTCGATCTTCGGCTGTGGCTCCAGGGGCGATTGCGGTGGCGGCAAATCCGTCACCCCGTTCTAAACTTCTTCAAGACCTATAGTGAGTACAACCGGGTAATGAGTCGGATTAACACCACAAAGTCGCCACCCAAAGGCTCCCAGCCGTGGAGTAGGAATTTATAATGTTGGATACTTGCGTTTGAATAAACTGATTATTTCGGCTTGCCATTTGGGATGGATGCAATTCTCATCATAGCGTGTAAAGAAAAGAAAAAGAGGAACCGCTCTCAGGTTCAGAAAGTACTGACCAATGCCTGTTTTCTCGCTTTGGTGTGCATATTTGTGTATGTGTAATAACAAAAAAAATGTCTTGTACTGGACAAAATCTGTTTTTCATTCCCTCTCTCCCCCCCTCTTCGTCCTTTTCTTACTACTTTCTTTCCTAACCAATAGTATATATTTTTTACTGATATCAACGTGTCACCATTATCTTATGCTACTGCATGGAATTGTTTCGTGAGTATGTCGGGTCGCTGAAGAAGTCTCGCGATGAAGAAGAAACACGACGGGAACGGCGTCGCGTGCGTCGTCAGGAGCAGTTCCTTAGTACCCGCTCTAATCGAGAGGATCGTAATCGGCAGATTCTTTTCAGGGATATTCACACACTTTCAAAGTCCAACACTATCGCGGAGTCGGAACTCGTCGATTCTGTCTCTCAAGCTCTTTCGTGGTGGTACTCAATATGCGATCACACCATAGAGCACCAACTGCAGTGCGAGTTGGCGGTGCAGAGGACGAAAACTCACGAGGAAGATTATTTGAACTGTGTTCTTGATCTTGAGAATAAGTGTTCAGCGGTCGTCTTCGATACCGATGCAAGTCGATGGGAAGAGGCAAAGAATATATATCTAGAGGCAGAGAAGCAGGCTCAGCAGGAGGCCGTACGGGATGCCATAAACAGTGTGATGCAATTAACAGAGCAGTGCATAACCTTTCTCAGCGCAAATGGACTGGAAAACGATGAAGGGGGTTCGGGTACCTACTTGGACTCCAACATCATCGCACAACTCGTTTTAGACGATGAAATGTGGCCACAAGCGTGCGAGGGCGATGTGGTGGTTTCATCCCCCTGTTCACTGATAAGCTTGCCTGCAAGTAAAGCATTTAAAGCTATTTTTCACCGGGAAACACCATTTAGTATGTCCTGCTCGGAGTTTTTGCAGCTTCTGCGCTTTGCATACAAAGAAGATAGTAACGAAAACTGTGTTACACGTTCCTTCTTTGATGTCAGCAACCTTCCCATTATCGCTCTGAATGGACCGAAGCTCAGTGGGAAATCGATCCTGGCCAAATATATTGCGTCTCATTGCGGGTTTTGTTGCGTCTCGGACAAGGACTTGGCGCAGAAGGCGCTGACCGCATATCAAAGAAAAAGTTCCTCTAACCCAGACTCCCAGCTCGAGGAGGAGCCCCCACAGACGGAAGAGGCGTGGTCAAACATCGGCGCCACCTTGCAAGACTTGCTCCTCAGAGGCGACGCGGTGCCCTTCGCCGCCGTTGTCCAAATGGCACACCTCCAGCTCAAGGACTTACACTCCGAGAATTCGTCAGTCGACGGAACGAACGAGGCCGTTGGTCTCTTACTTGATGGCATCGTTACCTCGCCGGAGATCTATGAGCACTTGCAGACGGCTCTTCTACCCACCAGCGGTCTTTTATACGAGCCCCTTGTCCGGTGCTGGTGTGGATCTCTATCAGAGCCGGACAAAACTCAGGAAACAGAAGAGGGAGATCCGATTCGAAACACGCTTCGGATGCCAAAGCTCCCGGAAGAGCTTCCCACTGCGAAGGAAGGCAAAGAAAAAATCTTCAGGCGCAGCGTCGGTGCCTCCACGCTGCCACCCCCGATCCTACCGGCAGTTATCGATATTTCAGAGGAAGTGAAGCGAGAGATGACATTTATACAGAAGGCAACATCTGAACTTGCTGATTATGCGTCCATCCTTACGGCTATCATCCAAATTGAATGTTCTCCCGAGGAGTTGTTTAGGCGCTTCGCGGGGCTTCGAATCGACCAAGAAAATGGTGCCGAGTATCATATGGTGTACAGCCCGCCACCGTCAAGCCGCGCGCCGTTTTTGGTAGGTCTGGAGCGCACGCAGGCGAACGCGGTGCGGCTTGCCGATATCGTGCTTCACCAACAGGCTGAGTGGTCGAAGATGCGGTGCTGGCTCGCCATGCAGTCGCAGCCTAATCTGATGTCGAGAGTGTATGAAATCAACGGCGAGGAATCTATTGAGGTCATTCAGGGCCACATTGACGGTATTTTATCGAGGATTCGTGAAGGCTTCATCGCGGCTCAGAACCTTTATAGTGATATGAGGGCCTCCCAGTGTCGCGTGCACGCGCTAGAGGAGAAACGCGCAGAGCAACTAGCGGAAAGGGAGGCAAAACGGCAGCACCTCATCTCTATTTACACCGAAAAGGGCTTTGCAGTGCCTGTAGAACTGCAAATCAACACGCACTCAAATGAATGCGGCGCTTCGGACGAGCTCAAGCCCCCGCGCGGCGTGTGCAGAGTCATTCTGAAGGCCACCCACACCTTCACTCTGAGCTACGTGAGCACCTACGCCACGGCGTGGAAGTGCCTGAGATCCCTGGCGAAGCAGGTCACGTTGTATCGTAAGACTGTCATGGAGGAAATGCAGCGGTTCATGTGCTTACCAGACGATAAGCAGAGGATATTAGACAACTTTATCCGGCATTTCAATGGTATTACACCCTTGATGCGTAGCGAAATCGCCTTCAAGGAGGAGGCCCATGTCATGGTCGAGGAACTCGCGGATAACCTTTTCAGATGTGTATCCGCAACGAAGAAACGATGGCAGCAACTAATAGGCACCATTATTCGGCGAGATGCGTTCATGGAGAGCTGGGAGAGTAGTCTGCGCAACGTCGGCGTCACTCTCGCGCAGGCGGAAACGGAGCGCTTTGTAACGGTGGTGCGTCTCTTCAACTTCTTCTTCAACGCTCAACTCGGGGAGGAGCCCGTTGTGGTAGAGGAATTTGACTGGGATGCCGCCTTTGCATCGATCAACACGCCCGATTACTTAGAGGGCTCTGTGCGAATCGAGAGGAAGAGAATCCTGAATCTAAAGAAGCCACACCCCGCCAACATCAGCACCCACGCGTATGGAAAGGTTGCGGATGACGGATCGGCCCGATCCGCGCGCGATACCTTCGACGAGGTGCTGCAGCGGGTGGTTGTCGCCCTCACGAGCTTTGCGGATCGCTTCCGGCCAGCCAGCGACGCGGGGTTGAAAAATCAGAAAAAATCGACGACGTCGGGGACGGCGCGGGCCGAGGCTTTTGCCGCCCATTGCGCCCCCCTTATCGAGGCGGAAATGACACGCACGCTGGAGCGGCTTTATTGCATCCGTGATTTTGTCGGGAATATGGCAAGCCAGGGCGAGCAGTACCGCGCCAAGATGCGGAATAAGATGTCCGAGGAGATCACCGGGGCCGTCTACGCGGAGGCGTCCGCCGTGAACACGGCGTTGTACGTCCTGCGCTGCTGCATTGAGGATGAGAGTAAGGCGCCGCGGATGCACCTGGGATGCGGCACCTTCGCCGTTCTCGACGCCTCTGGCCAATTGATCGCGTATCCCTCGCCGACCGCTCCCGCTAAGGCGCATTACAAGAATCCAAGCTTCATCACCGACGTTCCCCTTTGCCAGGAGCTGCCGGAGAACACGCTCAAAGTGCACGCGGGGTTGACTTTTGGGCGCCTTAAGTATCTTATCGCGGGCTTTGCCGCGGTCGCCCCTCAGTATCAGCTCGCGAAGAACGACTTTATGCGCTTTGTGCGGGAGGAGGACTACGACTCAGTACCACGCAGCTTATCTTCACCTCGGTCGGCGGGAACCTCGGTCAGGCAGACAAAGTCGACTTTGGCGCTCTTTCAAGAGTTTGACGTTCACCAGGCAGGTGTGATTGACTGGCGCGAGTTCATCGTGCATCTGCTCTTCTGGTGTAAACCTCCTACTTCAAAGAGTGTGGCTGGTGTTTTTTTCATACCAGACGCAACCATCGAGGAGCTGCGGGATAGCAAGCAAGCTCTTGGCGACGAACCGTTGGACAAGGACGCCTTTCATGAAAAGACTCTTTTCTTTGCAAAGTATTTGCCCAAAGACCGTCTAGAGGTCTACATGGAGGCGTTATGGTTGACTTTTCGTGATGAACAGACGCAAACGCTCGTTCCAATAACCCTGCTGTTGTTTCTGTGCGCAGACGTTCAGCGGATACGCGGTGCCCAGAAGGCGATATGCGTATCCGCGCAGATGCCTGCGGAAACGCACGAGTTAGCCGTCACCCAGTCTGAGCTGGAGCGTGCCTTCCACATCCTCTCCACAAACCCCCAGGCGCTCTCTCTCTACGATCCTTTTTCAACTCGTAATATAGAACTCTTGTTCGCATCGCAGGTGGGTGCCCCAACTGCCATCTCATTTCGCCAGATGTGTGGTTGCCTTATGGGCCGCATGATGCTGAATAGCTCTAGTGCCTTTCATCGCAAATCCTTTACGGCCTAAGGACGCCTTGCATCATAGAAAAAGGCATTGTAGATTGAGAAACGGGTCTTTAAACAAGGTTTTCGTGAGAAGGTCAAGGTGTGTTATCATGGAGCGAGGAGGAACAAGACATGTAAATAAAGGGATCTCGATTAAATTGCGCTTTATTACTGTAAATATACACCATTTATGCAATATTATCCCATAGAAGCGGGTGAAAAAAACTAGTAGTTGTAAAACTAGGCCAACCACTACCGTCGTTAGCGGCGAGGGGTCGCCTGTCCGAATAGGATGTGGACCGTTTTCTCTTCGAGTATCAATATCCCCCCTTCCCTCCTTTTCCGCTTGTATGTTGCGTTACTTCTTCCTCTTCTTTTTCTTCCTCTTCGATAGGGTCTGATTACTTTTCCGTGTGGTTTAGATTACCGAAAGCGTAGACTAGCGATAAAGATGCTGTGGGTCGATCGGTACAGACCGAAGACGCTCGAAGAAATCGAACTCCATCCCGAGTTAACCGACGTCCTAAGCCGACTCGCCAAATCCAGAGATCTCCCCCACCTCCTCTTCTACGGCCCCTCAGGGAGTGGAAAGAAAACCCGTATCATGTCGGTCCTTCACGAGATCTACGGCCCCAAGGTGTATTCCCTCCGCCTGGAGCACAAGAGCGTGCAGGTGACGGATAGCAAAGTGGTGGATATCGCGACCATCAGCTCGCCTTACCACATCGATATGAACCCCTCCGATGCCGGCAACTACGACCGCGTCGTTGCGATGCAGATGATTAAGGAGATCGCGCAGACGGTGCCGATGCCGCTTTCCGCCGCGTCTGATCCCGACGTCGTCCGCTACAAAGTCGTTGTGCTTAACGAGGTCGACATGCTCAGCCGGGGCGCGCAGCACGCGTTGCGGCGGACGATGGAGAAGTACCTGAGAACCTGTCGTCTGATCCTCACCTGCAACTCCACCTCGCGGCTGATCGCCCCGCTCCGGTCGCGTTGCCTCGGCGTGCGGGTGCCCTCGCACTCCAAAGAGAATTTGGCGAGGGTGGTGGGGAAGGTCTGCCAAGCGGAGGGCCTTGGGATGCCCTCGGCGGCCTTCCTCAACACCCTCGCCCTGCGCGCGGAGGGCAACTTGCGGCGGGGGCTGCTGATGCTCGAGGCGGCCGCGGCGACGAGGGTGGACTTTGGCGGCGACGGCACCGCCATCCCGCAGCCGGATTGGAAGCTTTACCTGGATGAGATCGCGAACGACATCTTCTCCGAGCAGTCCCCGAAAAAGCTGAGTGAGATTCGACTTAAGTTTTATGACCTCTTAGCCCAATGCATCTCGGGCGAAACCATCTTGAAAACGCTTGTGGATAGCCTGTTGGCCACTGTTATGCCCAAGCTGCACGGTTCTCTGATCGAGTTAGCCGCCAAGTATGATCATAACATGAAGCTTGGGACCAAGCCAATTCTCCATTTGGAGGCATTCGTGGCTGGAGTGATGAAACTCCTTAAGGAGAATGCTTCTCTGTGATAAAACGAGAGCGGTGTGTTCTCTTTTTCTCGCCTTCCCTTCATGATTCCTTTGCCTACAATAAACGGTGTTCTTTATTGTGATGAGATAGTCCATTTCTTCGGAAGACGTGTCATAGAATGGATATATATATATATATATATATATATATTGTATTATAATAGCGTTG